AGATAAAGATAAGTAACTTTGAGACTATATCAACTGACGGAAGATATGATTAGGTATTGAGTGAAGTCATTTTGGATTTATCATGACTGAATTCATCTTAGCGGCGCCGTTAATGTTAATTGTCATTAAGTTGAAGATTTTAAAAAATTGTGGAGGTTCTGTTCTTTCGAATGTTAATTTAATTAACATTTTATTTACATCCAACGTAATTATTATGATGATACAATTAGCATGTTTATTTACTTTTTCGATGTTTCAGTTTTTAGTATTTATTTGCTTTTATGTTTTACTTAATTTGAATTTATATGTTTTAATGGCGGCGCTATTGTGTGTTGATCAAGGAAGGTTCTTGACTTCTCGGCACTGCTACAACTGGGTTCGACTGCATGTTTATTGAATGTTTATCGACTGCATGACTGTTGAATATGTATTTTTACTTTTAAGGAAAATAATAAAGTGAATATTTATGCTGAAAACATTAGTTTTCAGTCTTGGTTGAAAAGACTCAGTGTGGGGCAAGAACATTAAACGTTAAAGCGAAAATAATGGGTGTTCACAAAAATTTGTTTTTACATGCAGTTTGTCCCAGTTTGAAAAAGTTTTAAAGCATTACCTAACGTATCTATACCGAAGCAAAGTGAAAAAAAACTATTACAAAAAATGCATATGATAAAAAGTAAATTGTTGTTTTTTCATCTAATATAATCGCGATGAGAATAAGTTATATGCTAACCCGAGTGATAAAGTTAAAAAAAATGACCGAAAATATTGAAAGTTTTTAAAAAGAAATTTGATACAAAAACATGAAAAAACATCCATCCAGTAAGAACAAGAAATCACATAAAACGGAATCATGAACCATAATTTATGTGAGCCTTTCTATATTGGAAGAATGATTTATTAAAATGAAGACCTTATTAGGTTTCCAGGCAATTACATCGTTATTCATTTGTTTATAAGATCTGCGTGCAATTAATTTTGTTTATTGAACCTTAAAAATCATAAATAATGTTAACGTTTTAAGGCTAACAATATTAAATATAATTTTAAAGTTTTATCTAAGAATGATTAATTTTTGTTACTCATAGTCGTCACTGAATTAGAAAAATTTTTGTTGAGTATTTTTCACCTTGAAAAAAAATTTGCAACAAATGAAAAAAATTCAGACTAATAAACCATCTAAGAAGAGGATAACCTAATTGAAGTTATTTACGTTCTATTTTGAAGTGAATCCCTTATTTTATCTCTTTCTTTCATTTTTATTTGTTTTCTTTTCTCTCTATCTCCCTTTTTCTATATCCCTTGCTTTGTTTTTTATCATTCTCTAAGTTTTTTACACTAACTTTCTCTTTCTCACCATTTTATTTAATGTTTTATTCTGTCTATATATTTTTTCTCTCTCTTCTCACATTTTCAACCATCTACTCTCTCTCTCTCTCTCACTCTCTTTTTCGTGTCTTTTCATTCTTTTTCACTCCGACTCCTTGTTTTTCTTTCTCTGCTTTTTTCTATCTTTTTCACTTCATCTCTCTCTCTCTTTCTATTTGTTTCTATATTTTTGTTATTTTTGTTTTTATTTTTTCATTTTCTTTCATTCTGTTTCTCTATTCTAAGTCTTCTACTCTTTATTTTTTACATTTTCTTTTTTCTTGCCTATCCCTTCTTTCCTTTACTACCATTTCAAATATAAGTCCTTTAATTATATACTTCATATTTCCACCGTCCAGATATCATCACGTCACGTGTTCCAATACAATCAGCCGCCCTTAATTAAAAAAAATGTTTACGAATCTATCCGCCCATTTGATCTTTTGTTTACTTCTACGTGACGCTAGTGAAGTTGGCGATGATGCAACTATAACTGCGAACATTTAATTTGAAAGTTATCAAAAGTTGATAAAAATAAATTAATGTTATTATTACAATATAAATATACATTTATATCAATAGTTATGTTAAAACAATTTTAATACTGGTGCCATTTTTTATTCTATGATTATCTGTGTTTAATCTTTAATGCCGTTAGTTTTAAAATCAACGTTATATTCAGTATATTTAATATTTTCCATGGTGTGGTTCATCTAAAATAACGGCTAGTAATTTTTTCAATGTTATAAAATGAATCCATTCACAACTTTCTCGGAATGTTAAAAATTTACGAACATTATCGATTTTACAGTTCCGTCTTATTTTGTATCATGCTTTACATCGTAAACTCAATGGCTAAATGAGGTTAGCTAATTAAAGTTTATTGAACTAATTATATACATCCTTTTTAACGGCGAGGCGATGGTGTGCTGATCAAGGTTGGTACACTGCTAGGAACTGGGTTCGACTGCACAATGCCCCAGCTGATGAGTGGATTCATGTGTATTTGCATGTGCAATCTAACTGCTGCTGATAGCCCTGGGAAATACTAAAAGAGAAAAAAAATTACTAAGGTGCAACGGATCCCCTAGAACAAACCAGTTAATGTTTCATTTGCGTTTAACAACTTTCCAAGTATGTTTACGTATAAAACTTAGGTACCTTGGCAAACATCGTCATTGCATCGTTTGCTATTCCTGAAGTAACTTTTTTTACTTATTTGTTTTATATTTTATTTTCTTTTTTTTTTGCAAATTGATTGTTTTTTATTTTCAAGATTACATTAAACAATTATAGTTAAACTGAAAAATCTTCATGATATGTTGTTTATACGATTTTAAATAATTTGAATTGGATTTGACCGCCAGTTTTTGCTATTGAATCATAATGGTACAGTCAATATAAATATTTGTTATAAAATTCGTATCAAATACTCATGATATTGTAAAATAAAAATTCAATTCTAAAAAATTTGAACTACAAATTTGGACATTACCCGGACTACAATGGAAAAACTCAAAATGCCTGCCACAAAACAAACCACACACCAAAGACACACCACACAACACGGCATAGCAGTATAACAGGGTGGCATGAGGATGCATCAAAATTAATCAACCTGCTTCTACCATAAATTAGTTTAATTAATTCAGTGAGTGACGTCGCACCCAGGAACCTCAAATAAAAATTCTATGAAGGCAAACATTTTCAAACTATCGATGCAGCTAGAGTCGAGTTGGTCAATTTTAATGGTACATAAATATTTTATATAAATAATCTACCTATCATATAGAGATTTATAAAAATAAATCAAAGTATACACACGTGGCTATTCTTAATGCAATAGTGAAAGTTAGATGGTTTTTAACATAACAACGCATTCAAACATTTGCTGTGCATACGTTTTCATTAGCAGTCTTCCGGTGCCAAGTTATTTTCCATCAAACTCATTCATTAACGTTGTCCGTTGTAGTTGGCCGGGTAATTCACAAACTCGTCTGTCGCATTATTTGCGCATTCCATGTCATTAGGAAGCACTGCGGGTTTTGGAACATCAAATTTAAACACATCATTGCCATTGACAGCAAGTTTTAATTCTTTTACAATTTGTTCCTCGGACATAATTGAGTTACAACAAAAAATAAAAAAATTATTTTTTACGAATTGCAATATTCCAGGATAAAAGAAATTTACTAAAATATATGTAAATATAACATTTTGTCAATTATGTAGTTTTTTTCATATTCATGGTATTTATAATCCGTTCTAAGATTACAGATTTTCATACAAATTAAATAGCATCTTAGATTTAATCTGGTAGCAACAGAGCAGTTAATGAATGGCACTTTTAATAATTTCATGTTGACACGTAACAGTTTAAAAAGTGAATTTTAATGTTGAATCTCGAACCAGAGAAATCGTTTCCAGATACATCATGTGCAAAAATATAACAAGAGAAAATTCTTCTTTACCAACAGGATCTTTTCAGAGTGTAACGATTTGCCTGAAGAAATTATTGAACCCAAACTGTCGTAGAATTTAAAATTAAACCTTATAAGTTTATAACCTTATAAGTTTATAACCTTAAAGACTTTATTTTTGTTTATAATATGGACATGGACACTCTTGTTTGATTACATAGATACTCAGTTGTATGGGCTATGTTTCTAGGCATGGGCAGGGCATATTGACTTCTTAGTTTGAGTCCATTATAAGCTATTATATATATATATATATATATTTATTTATTTATATATTTATATATATATATGTATATATATATACATAATAAATTATTTCTATTTATATCAGAACAAAGAAAAAATCACTGTTAAAATAGATGATTAATTTATAAAATCCATAAAAAACACAAATGTACATGAACATATATAAAAAAAAAGTATCGATCAGTAAAACAATCTTCCATTTGCCAAAAATACAAAATAGGCTGGCAAAATTTCACCGTCCAGATTGAAAAATATTTGAAAATATTTTTCTCTTGTTTCTCTAACGTACGGCAAGACGAGCGTCGGACTTTAAAGCTGAGAGAAACCACAAATTTTAAGAATATCGTGAAATACAAATTTATAAAATAAGCATGCATTCTTTGTGTCTGTAAATGAAATTTTGCTATTTTAAAAATGAAAGTTAATTTTTTAATAAAGACATTTGCAATTAATAATTTTTAAATAGAATATTTCATTTGTTTAATTTGGTTTACTTATTACGCTGTTACTAAATAGCTATCGTTAAATTCTGCGAGATATTTATAAGCAGGATGTCCATCTGATAGTTTTCTTGTAACTTTCATTAGCCTACTTTAGTTTTAAGGTAAATTGCGATTCTTAGACAATACATTTAGTCTTTATTTGTTACAATTATTTCAAAATTATAAATTAAAAACATTTTCAAATCTCTTTTTGTGGTGTTTTTTGATCATTAATTTTTCAACAACTTATAAAATGTAAACAATAACATGATGACACTGGTTTGGTGGACATTACAAAAGTACTTCAACGTAAATATGTGATATTTTTTATTCTCCAATTTCAAATTTGATAAGATGTAAAGTTTTATATTGTTTCCAATGCAGTAAACAAATTAGTACTAATAAAATTTTTGAAATGGTGAAGCTACTTGGAAGATCTTGATCTTCTTTGTTCTTCGGTGGCAACTTGGTTCATTTCCACTGTCGAACCTACCTTAGCTTTAAGGTAAATTGCGATTCTTAGACAATACAAAAGCCAAATGAACAAATGGAAAATTAAACTGGCAATAAAGACGTATATGAGGCTAATGAATAAGGTCTGGTATGGTTTGTCCCAATCAACGAGATTTTGATATAGAACGACTCCGTATACAGAAAATATGAAGTAGGTGAATAAAATATATGCACCACTATACAAGTAGATCCATACAAAGTGGAGAAATCTGATGGGGTGTGCTGACATGAAGAGGTCGATGAATACAAACACGACATTCAGCATGTGGAAGTGTATATCGTACAACGTTAAACGAGGTAGTTGTTGGTTAATGTGTATCAGTACACCGTAGAACCCAACTGTCACTATTAACGCTTCAGTGTATACAACATTTCTGAAAAACCACTCAAGATAAAGTAAATATCTTTCTAAATCATTCAAAACATAATTGCTATTCGTGTTTGAGAGGTGCATTATGCCAGTTATATCATCTCTTCGATTGTTGCTTTTCTGTAGATTAGGCGAAGTTCTTCTTCGTCCTCCCCCTGCATCAGGGGGTAGTTTTGGATCTCTCTGTAGATTGTTGAGATGTGGGAAATTATCAGGTGATGTTCTTTTTACACTCACATTTTCAGGAGACGATTGTCTTTTTGCATTGTCCATCAATTTATTTTTTGGAAGAATGTTTGTCGGTGGTTCGTTAGCAGCTGGGCGTGTTTGAATAATGTTCTGTTCGGGAGGACTTTTGCGTTTCTTGACTGTTTTGAATCCGAATAAGGATCGAACTTTGGCATGAGGTACGTACAAATTTGCTGATTCACTAGACCCTTTTGAATCTTTATGATTATTTTTTGGTTTGTATTTGTTCTGTTGATGCTTGGGTTTTCCTCTTGAATCTTTTGATGTAATCAATTCCATTTCATTTCTATTAATGGATAAGTTTTTGTTGCGAGAATTGTTAATATTTTTTAAGGTTAGCGAGGTTCTTGAGCTGTTGTCTGATGTGCCGGTATCATAGGTGTGGAGATCTCTTGCTTCATTCAAGAACATGAACCTCTTCGCTTCTTCTCTTTTTCTCCTCCTTATAACATACACCCTCCTGGTGACTCTAAACGCTGACATTACAAAATAAATTGTCATTATAAGGTAGGTGAAGTTAGTTAGGAATCTCAGCTGTCGTGCGCCTTTCACGGCGGCCATGATGGTTAACGAGATGACGGAGTAGATGGCCAGACTGCTTTTGATTGTTATGAAGACGAACTGGTTCCAAGACCACTGGGAGGGAGACAAAAGTTAGTAATGAAAATTTTTCATCATTAATGCATCCTAGTAATTTATAATATAACTTAATTTTTGTACTCTTATAACTTTATAAGAGTAGATCATTCTAACTTTTAAGGATTTAAAAAAGTTATTATAATAGACAGATAATTGTTGAAAAATATTACATGTGTAAGACGCTTAGCTTGCAAAAAATTCTTTCATATTGGTAAAAAAATTTGCTACATTTTTTTATATTTTTCAAAAATAAACGGTAATAAAGAACTTATTAAACTTGAAATAAAATAAAAAACATGAAATGTTTATTTAATGTTTCAAATTTCAATCTATACAGTTCTGCATTACAGGTTTAATAAACCATTCCATAAATTATTTTTTTCAATTTGAATACCATACCTGATTTACGTAGAACAACTCTATATCCGTAGCATAAAATAGAAGACTCTTTCTTGTGAATTCGTTTTTAAATCTTTTTGTAAACGATCGCTGTTAAAAATTAATTGAAATAGCCGATACAAATGCTAAAAATTAAAATAAAAAAATTTTAGATCAATTTATTGTATATTTAATGTTTAATATTTGAAATTTCATTTTGATTAACCACATTACATATGTCAAAAAACAATAGTATTGTTATTTTTTGTATGATACAGCAAAACAAATCGAAAATAACACAGCTTGAAAAAAAAAATTTTAACAGAGTAAATCCCACATTAAATTAAAACAATAAACATTTACTTCTTGGTTTTCAACGAGAATTGTGTTGTTCATAATAGGTTTAATTCAGTTTAAAACAAAATAAAAATAAATAAATAAAATTGCGTTTGTTTTCATGACGAAGACAAGAGAGAAGTTTTAATTTGAAATAACACAAAGTCTCATTGTTTATGTTTTCTTCGTGCAGTCGTATAGCTTTAATTAATGAGAATTAAGCTCATGAAGTCTAATAAATTTTGAAAAAACTGCTTATCATAAAAACTGCTTTTGGTGTGGATAAATGTATGTATATGATCAAAAAGAGTATTCTTTATGCAATTTAATTTTTGGAATTTAAAAGTTTAATTTGGAAAGTATAAATCAAGCAAAGTTGTTATTTTTTCAATCAGCTGAGTTTGAAAAGTTTGATAAGCGTTCGTATAAGCTACTCCAAATTTATTTCTGTTGCAAATGAGTTAAAAAGTTTTGTCAATCATAAGGACTATGACGCTCGTAAATGTTTGTTTGGCTAATAACATATCTAAAGTACTTTTATGGACGGTGCCACATAAACAGATGATCAACATCAAACAACAAAATGAAACCATTAATTTTTAAAGTTTCCATTTAACAAATAATTTGTTGTAACGCTTACAAAAAGAGTTTTCTTGGATAATCTAAGCTGATTTTTCAATAGGAAATTTTCACTGCTAATAAATTTATGATCAAGAATAAATGACACCAACAGTAAAAATAAAATGCTCACCTGCTTGCTAACACGTTCAATTCGATCATCTCTAATAGCTCATTGCTTGTGGTCATGTACACTGACTATTACTATTTCTGAACTCGTTCTTTATGAACATCTTTCAATTTTTAAAGACTGTAAGTAATATCAATGACCTAGTTTAATTAAAGGGCAGCATTGATAAGCATTTTTGACCTGACTTTTTAATTTACAATCAACACTTCAATTAGGGTAATGCAGTTATATTTTTGCTTGTTTTTATTTACTAATAAATGAAACCTCTAGTTACTCATACAAAAGATGCAAGATTTTTGTTTCTTCAATAAGCTCAATCAATCAATCAATCAATCAATTAGCTTATAAAGCGCTATTTCCGCGATGTTCAACAGCGCTCCTCAATGAATTTTGAAAACAGATGGGTCTTGAGATCCGCTCTGAACTTCGCAAGTGATGGAGAAGTAGTCAGAGAAATAGGTAAAGAGTTCCAGAGAAAAGGACCAGAAAAAGCAAAAGCAGATTTGGCAAAAGAGTGTTTAACACGAGTTAAAAAAAAGCGAGAATAAGAAGACGATCGTAATCCATACAAAAGATGCAAGATTTTTGTTTCTTCAATAGGCTCAATCAATCAATCATTCAATCAATCAATCAATTAAGACATCTGATAATCAATTTAGGTTCAATTAATATATCTGATAAATACTTAGGAAATAATTTAGATTGAGACTTATACATGAACGTGCAAATTTTAAAAATTATTCTATATTTTATAGGTAGCCAGTGCAAGAGAACAAGATATGGAGATATATGAGAAAAGAAAGGGGCACGAGCAACTAGACGAGCAGCAGAGTTAAAAGCTTTACTTAAAGGATAGAATATAGAGTCAGGAAGACCATAGTAGAGCGAGTTACAATAATCAATCTTAGATAAGACTAACGAAGTAACAAGAAGGAGAAGAGTAGGATCATCAAGAAAAGGCAAAAGTTTTTTTATTCTACGTAGATGAAAGTAAGAGGTTCTAGCAACACTATTAATCTGAGAAGAGAGAGACATAGTAGAATCAAAGATAAAACCTAGACTACGAAACTTATAAGAGACATCAAGAGTTTTAGAATCAGGTAAGATAATAGGAGGAATAGTAATAGAGTGTTTAGATTTATTAAAACAAATTAATTCAAACTTAGAAGGATTAAGTTTAAAACACATAGAGTCAGACTAAGCAATAATTGAAGAAAGACATAGAGATAAATTATGAAGAACACTATTGAGATTAGATGGAGGAAAAGAAGTATAAATGTAAGAATCATCAGCACATAGTTGACTAGAGAAAGAAAAGTTATTAATAATAAGTAGTTCAGAAGTATAAAGTATAAATCGAAGAGGGCCAAGGATAGAACCCTGAGGTACCCCGAAAGTAAGAGTAAAGAAGTTAGAAGTAGAATTATTGAGAACAACAGAAGAAAAACGATTACAGAGATAAAAAGAAAACCAAGATAGACAAGAATCAGTAATATTAAAAGAATGATGCAGCAGTCTCAAGAGAATAGTATGGTCAACAGTATCAAAAGCCGAGGAAAAGTCAAGAGCAAGAAGAAGAGTAAGATTACTATTGTCACTAGAGAAGGATATCATTGTGTATTTAGAGTACTGTGAGCAGGTCTGAAACCAGATTGAGATACAGGTAGCAAGGAGTTAAAGTTTAAATAGGATGACAGTTGATTAAAAACTGGAAAATTTATTTAAAAAGTTTAAGAAATCAACCCAAATTTGTAAAGAAATTGAACTAAATTTTACAATCAGATGCAGTAATTTTCAAAACGTACATCTACCTATCGGCGTTTTATAAACGCAGAAAGCCGCCAAGCCACTCCGCCAAATATATATGTTTAGCCACTATCGTAGCGTTTCCAACTTCCTAAGCGTTTGTGGTTAGTGTCGGTCTGAAATTTTTAGTTTGGTTTTTAAATTGAGAAATTTTAAATTTTAATTTTTAAATTGAGAAAGATTTGGGTTGTAACGCTAAGTTTATTTTATTCCTCATATAATTTTAAATAACATCATTTGTCTCGTCTAAAAAAGTATCTAAATCGGTAGTTATAGTTATAAATTTTTAATTTTAGTTATATTTTTATTAAAAATTAGATTAGAGTAAAGTTAAAAGATAATCTGTTAATGTTGAGTTAAGTTAAGTAGAGTTACGTTAGTTAGAGTCAGTCTAGAACTGTGAAAGCCAAAAGAAGGAAAAAATCAAGAAGTGGAATGGCTACTGGTGGAACAAGTAATGAAGCAGAGAGAGAAGATGCTGCTGAGTTGATTTTTCCTAAAGGTTTCATTTATTTTATTGGGTTTAAAGTTTAAACTAAAAATTATTTTTTTCAAATTTTACTTGGACTTGGCTATGGGCCCATCCTATGAATGGTCTAGTCAAACTATTGTTAGTGTTGCAGTATTTGTATGTTTCAATTAAAAAAGTTAAATTTATTGGTTATTTAGTTTTATTAGTAGTTGTATTTACTAATTTAGCATTATTATAATATATTAATTACCATTAACAATGGTTTATCAGTTGGAGCAGGGAATGTGCCACATTAATCATTTATGATTAATGTATAAACTATTTACGGTGGCTGATCTACAGGTGCTATTCTCAGTAAAAATTTTGGTCCCCTCATCAAAGTTGTCTAGATCCGCCACTGAATGTTTATACTAATTTATATTACCATTAGTGATTAATTACAGTCTTCTCAAATTTTCTGTTTCCATCGTTTTGATGTAAAATATTTTGCAAAGAAATTTTTTTTAAACTTTGCAGCTGTAACTATACTGTACTTTAACATAAGAATGTTATTAACAGATTTTTATGTTCAACAATTTTTTTCCTTACAGAATTTGAAAATGCTGAAACACTTTTAATATCTGAAGTTCAGATGTTGCTTGATCATAGGTAAAAAATTTTGTGCCATACAATATCTTCATCTTCACAATTTTCATAATTTTTAGTCTTTAAAAATTATTTATTCTCATTTAAACACCTCAAATAATTTTAAAAGAAAAACTCAAAATGAGAATGCGGAGGATGAGCAGGAATTGTCACATGTATTCATGAAGACTCTAACATACACTGAAAGATTTTCCAAGTTCAGAAATCGAGAAACAATTGCAGCCGTTAGAAGGTTGGTTTTCCACATCTATAATAATTAGATTCAATGAATAACAAGCCGAGCTTATTGTTTTGTAATGTAATTTTTTTCTTTTAATCACTCTTTTCAATGCTTTTTGCAGTTGTTTTGCAGCTTTTGAAGAATTTTCACACATAAAAATCTAATATCGTTGTTTTAAATTAGCTTGGTTAAACAGCTCCATTTGTCATCTCTCATAACTATTTTATCATAATTTTTTATTTTTAATTAACTATTAAGATTGGATTACAGACTAATGTATATTGAGTCATTTGCTCTCTGTCTTTTGCTTTATTCCTTTAGTTTTCATCTGGCTAAAATTCAATATATTATATTATTTTTCTTCTAATGTGCCAGAATCATTTCGATTTTGGATATTCTTTGTGTCCATATTTCCTTACTTGCCAACATGATCAAACCATTTTAATCAACCTTGTCTCATTACATATCCTAAACACTCAACTTCTCATGCTATTCTGACAACTTTGTTGCAGTGTTTTGTTTCTCAAGATCATATATAGAAATTTTTTTAAATATGCTTTTATACTTTCATAAGAATTTTTAAAATTTTCACCAACCTTTCTACATCTTGTAGAATGTGTAAAATGTCATATGTGTCTTCTGTCTTCATTGTCACCTGTTAACAATCTTATGCACAAAACTTATTTCATAATTTTTTATTTAATTAATTTTGCTAAAAAAATTGTCAACCAGTTTATTGATGCAAAATAAGTTTCACAAGTTTGAACTGGCAACCCTGGCTAACTTGTGCCCTGAAAGTGCTGATGAGGCCAAATCATACATTCCCAGGTACTAAGTTTTTTCAGAATTTTTGAAATTATGTAATAAACCTATCTGTGTTAAATGTCATCATGTTTTACGATTGATAGCATCAAAGTCACAATTAAAGTTGGCTGAGAGAATGTATTCACTTGAAAAGTTATGCGAGTCAGCACGTCATGTTTTTGATCTGCAGAAAGTCTAACTGCAAAGACAATTTCGCACAAGTTGTTAAATTTGTGATATGTTGACATGTTTATTGTTTATGAGAAAAGGAAAGAAATTGAATTTAATGGTCCAGTTATAAGTGGAAGGTTTCCAAGTTAATATAATATTAAGGTTGATCATTAAAGTAGCATTAATATGTATAAACTAAATGAAATGATAACTTCTGTTTTTAAAATATATAACGTAATTAGCGTGCTGTATTTTTCCGAGAAAGGACAATGGCCAATATGACTACTTATTCTAAAATTAGAAAATCAATTCAGTCCTATTTTTAATCAACCTGTAACTAAATTTTCTTTTTTTTCAATTTATATCAAACAGTTTTTAAACGTTGGTAGTCATCTTCTAGCGGTCATTTCTCCATTTTGTTTCAATCGTTTCGATTAATTCATTAAACGGTAAAATATTTCAAAACAGTTTGGAAGGAAGATTCGAAGATGACGAATTACAACAAATTCTAGACGACATCAAAACTAAACGAAGTTTCCAATATTGAGGCTTAACCTTTTCGACAAAATCTGTAATATGCTTAGTTATTTTTAAAGGTTTCATTGCACTTATTCATTTCATTTCAAACTGATCAATTATGTCTGTTTTCTCATTTTGTATGAATTAAGAACTACGTTTTTATCATAATTCAATGTAATGTAATAAACTTCTGAAAAAGTGTTGTTATTACATGATTTTGACTAAATTTAAGAAAATTCTAATGTCTAACAATCGGGAAATAAGGACAACGTTGTCAGTTGGCGTACTTTCACTGTCTTTCAACGTGTGACACCAGTTGGTAGCGAGAAATTTCTCGAAGAATTGTATCGTTCAATTGTTTTGTTTAAATTTGCTGGTCTTCTTAACACTGCTAGGTTCATTTTTTAAACTACGAAATAGATTTGATTGACCGGCTTAAAAATTGAAATAAATCGACTTAAAATTTTAATTAGAATAGTCTCATATTTTGGGAAGTGTTACAAAATTTTGTTTATTGATCTATAACGTACTTTCTAGAGGTACTTTTAGAGTTATTAACAAACACGGTGCATGTAAATACATATGAAAGAACGCGTTATACATTGCATGCAGTTGGAGAGACCTCTACAATCGAATACGGTCACTGAAATGGCACTGCCAGGTACTTAACCGTTACACCATTGTGCCGCCCTTAAAAACCTCAAGAGGAAATAATCCTCTCTAAAAATATACTATAATGACACAAAAGTTCCCGAATCAACGTTTAAATCAGACGTATCAGCGAAAAACACAGCGTATATGAATACGCGTGAAAACCACACATTGCGTATGATAGGCGGAAATTTCTCTGCATTCGAACACAATCACTGCTACAGGCGCCTTCAACTATTGAGCCATCACGCCGTCTGAGTAGTAGTATAATTCAATTTCTATGTAACAATGCGAGTTGACCGTTTTTCAGAGCAATACGATCTAATTTACGATTGCTTGCATGAAATTCTGCCCTTCTGCATATTCAAATTAAACTTGATTTGTTAATGTTATCAGATCCGTCACAGTAGCAGCGTAAATTTTTTTTCAAACGACGACGTGGAGTTTTGCGGACACGAAGATGAAAAAAAAGCACGGGGTGGCGTCAACGGTTAGGCATGTTTTGGTATGAGAAGACGCTAGTCAAGTTCACGAAGTAACCGCTCAACTAAGCCCGCACCAACAACCACGATCTTTATCTTTCAATATCTTCTTACTTGTTTTAATTATGCTGGCTTTGTGTTTGTATCATCTCGAACGTTGTCGCTAAATAAAAGACGTTAATAACAAATAATTTTTGATATTAATATGTGATCGTATTTTATTTATTTGCTTTTTTTAAACCATTACTTTATTTTATTTTTCATACTTTTCATCAAGGGGAGGTCTATTTACCAGTATACAACACCTTCTTATGGGTTGAAGCAGGGATATGCAAAGAACCTCAATTTTTTCAACTTTTAATTATTTTCAGTAATGTCTCCCCTTGCTCCAAACCACATAACCAGAATAATAGGACTAATCGATCAATTCGATCTATCGGTCGGGCTATTTGTCGTGCTTGGATTGTTGGCTTACGAAATTACATGGATTTTAACGATCAAGCTAAAATGAAATATTTACTTGATTTAATATGCTTAAAACATTGTAGTAATTCTATTTAATTTTAATAATGATTAATAGAATTATGTATTATTAAATTATTTTTGTTAATTTGAATATAAAAATTGCTTTTGGTCCGGTGAAATCCGGTGGCTTACTGAAGCCGAAGGTTGATTGAACTATAGTCACCCTTTTTTCACACTATTCGATCATGTTAAAAATTGGTTTGCTTATGAAATAAACGGCCTAAATAAATCAAAATTGTTATTTGAACAACTATCTTCATTATATTTAACGAATATTTTACATTCTGCTGGTGCTCATAAGAAACAGGCTGCTGAAATCATACGTTGGCTTACAGCAGTGGCTTACAGGGTTTCATAGAACTCTTACGATAGCACTTTTTGTACATATAATGCTTAATAAATCGATATATTCATATCACGATTATTTTTGTCAGTATAAATATAGAAATTGCTTTTGTCAAGTGAAAAACAGTGGCTTACTGAAGCCGTAGGTTGGCTTAATCGGATTTTTTCTCATGTATACAATACTATGAGATAAATCAATCAAACAATCAGTCGGTCGGTCGGTCAGTCTGTCAGTCAATCAATCAACCAACCGATCAATCAACCGATCAATCAATCAACTAAATTGAATGAACCAAATAAACAAAAATAAAAACAAAAAATAAAAAAATTTGCAAGGCCTGTTCAAACTCGAACAAACAGTTAACCGTACAGATCTACAAACAATTTCGAGATTTTAGTAAAGAAAGAAAAACACAGTAGTTGCTTTTATTTGAATTCATTCAAAAATGAAAACTGACGGTTAATTAAAATTTTAAAATGTCAATTTTTTTTTTAAATTCGTATTTTAAATAAACAAATATAACAAAATATCGACCGATAAAAATAATTATTATCCATTATTATCATACACACTCCTTAGAAGTTCTCGAAGGATAATAAACCACGTAACATGAACATTTAGTAAGAACAGTTCACAACATATCATAATGACTAAATCAACATACTAAACAAAAATAATTTATACATGCATATATACAAAGTAAATCAAGAAATATCCAAAAATTATATACCAT